CAGGTGCTGTGGCTCACACCTGTAATCCCAGCACTTTGGGAGGCCGAGGCAGGGGGATCACCTGAGGTCAGGAGTTTGAGACCAGCCTGGCCAACATGATGAAATCCTGTCTCTACTAAAAATACAAAAATTAGCCAGTTATGGTGGCTCACACCTGTAATCCCAGCTACTCGGGAGGCTGAGGCAGGAGAATCAATTGAACCCAGGAGGCAGAGGTCGCAGTGAGCGAGGTCGCACCACTGTACTTCAGCCTGGGTGACAGAGCGAGACTCCGTCTCAAAAAAAGAGAAAAAAAATTCATGGCAAAATAGAACAAAACCAACACCCCCAAATAAACATAACAAAAAACCACTTGAAAATCCACTGCTGCCTTTGCCAGAAGAAGAGTAGTCTGGCAGCAGGGTGACCTGCTATAAACCCACTGTTCCAGTTTGTCCGGGACTGAGGGACTTCCTGGGGCATGGGACTTTCAGGGCTAAAACCTAGAGAGGCCTGGGCCAGCCAGGACAAGCAGGTCACCCCGAGGGGTGGGGCAGCAGCAGGTGCTGTCTGGATGAAGAGCAAGGCCTGCCTGGCCATGTGAAGGATGCCCTGCAAGTGTTCCTGGTCATTACTTATAGTGGGGACTTCACAGGTCTGCATGAATAGGTGTTTTTCTCTCCCTTCTTTCTCCCTTTATCCCTGGATATACACCAAAGTTCAACATGCCTGTGGATCAATGTCACTTCAGCAGGGGGCCTCCTGCCTGATACTTGGGCTGTGAATTCTGGGCCTCTGCTTTGGCCCCTTCCTCTCCTTCGTGGCCTGTCCAGTCTCCCCCTGCTCCCACCTGTCCCATTCTACCTGTGACAATTCCTCAGCAGGTAGGAATCATGAGAAAACTGAGGCTCTGAGAGGAAGTGACAGGGCCCAGGTCTGCGCTAGGAGTGAATAATTCTCTCCTGTCTTTCCGGAACCACCCTCCCTGCCCCTTTTGGAATTACATATCCCCTTCCCAATAGCACCTCTTATTCCCCAAGTCTGGCTTGCACTCATAGGCTGCTCTTCCTCAGGACGCTTTCCACGGGATGATTACAGCAATGGATGCCTGTCTAGTTTTCAGAAGTAGTTTTAGGAACCCTCAAGTCAACCCTATGAGGTGGGTATAGCCCATGAACCTATTTTATAGAGGAAGAAACGGAGGCTTAGGTTAACCGGCTCTAAAATCACGGAGAGGAAAGAGCAGGGCTAGCATGCTAACATAGGCTCAAGAAAGGCTCATGGAATCAGCCTCTTATGCCAAGTCTTTGGTCTTTCTTGACCTGGGCCCTGCTGATGTAGACAAGTCTGTGTGTGACTCTGTATTCCTCAGGGTGCCCAACACAGGGCTGGACATAGAACAGATGCCTGGCAGATGCTTGCCAGGTGAATGAGAGGCCTGTGTGAGTGGCAAGAGAGCAAAGGGTATCAGAGGAGCAAATGGGACAGGGACTAGCGCATGCCTGGAGCCAGTGAATCCAGAGAGATGGCAGGAAAGGACACTCCTATGAATACCTTCTGCAAATGACAGTCCACTAGCCCATGAACTCCACGAGGGCAGGAGCTGTCTGCTGCTCACTGCTGGCTCCCTGGCCCTGGCACCATGCCCCACACTTGGAGCTCAGTGCATACCTGTTGAGAGTCTGCAAAGGCTCCATGGCATTGAAGCCCTGTGCCCTCTGGGAGACATGAACCCTTCCAGGGTTATATAGCAGGCACTTGTATTTTATGATGAGCAGAAGTTGTGAATGTGGCCGCAGCGCTGACATTCATTGGGCACTACTTGTGTGCAGGGTTCTGGGCTGAGCTCAAGGAGGACCAAGAGAATGAATAAATCACATTCTCCACCACTGGTCTAATCCACCTTACATGCCCTCCCCGCCTGGTAGCCATGATCTCATTTTTGGTTATAGCCTTTCCATCTAGATTTTCCTTTGGGAAAGAAACTTTCTCTCCCTGAACCCGTATCCACACGTCCCAGCTCCAGGGGTGGTCACATGGCCCAGGCATGACCAACCAGCATATTCTATCCCAGAAGTCACCATACTGGCCCACGGGTGAGCACATGACCCAAGCTGGTCCAGTGAAAGTCAGCCTCAGGACTTCCTGTGGACCACTGGGAAAGAGAAGGTCTCTTCCTAGGGAGACTACTGACTATAAGGCTGATGGAATGCTGGAGCCTGGAGCTACAGGGACTGAGCCAGCCTGAGAGAAAAGGCAACCCAGGAGAAATCAGGAGAGAGCAACAGAGACGGAAATCCAATACCGTCATCATTTAGACCATGGATTCGGCAGCTCTGCTGCCTGCACATCCTGATACATGAGCCCACAAGCTGACATCTTTCTCCCTATTTTTTGTATTGCTTAAGCGACTTCAAAGTGTGTTTTTGCTACTTGAAACTGAGAAAGTCCTGCCATACAGAGCTCTCCTCTCCCAAGCAGCAGCTTCAGTCCCAAAACTCAACATGAGTTCTCTCCCCTCTACTCCACCAAGCACTCTCCTCTGGCCTCCTCCCATCTCTGTAGCCCCCAACCTGGCTTCAGGCTCTCTTGGATGGCCTGGGGTCTGAATGATCTCAAGAGACCCCCAACTGACTCCAGCGTGCCTGCTCAACCCCAATCCATTCCAATCCAACCCACGCTGTCAAAACTGTTGATCTTTCTGAAACAGACAATATAGGCGCATGTCACTTCCCCACTTAACACCTTTGTAGGCTCATCACTGCCCAAAGCAGTTTCCTAAGGCATCAGGTCCACGTCCCTGCAGCTGTGAGAGCTGATTTTAGATGGTACATGAACCCAGCACTCAAACACACTGAAACCTATAGCAAGAAACTTAAGCTCCTTTTGATTCTCTCACAGACTTCACAATTACTTTACAGAGGTCTCAGCGCTGTGCCGCCGTGGCTTTGGCATCTCTCTACCACTTGCTTCTCTCCCTCTGTAACCAACAGAGAGAAAGCCTCAAGCTCAGAACCTTCCAAAGAAGGCTGAAATTTTAAACCTTGGTTTGCTTCCATTGCATTTATTTTTATGGTCACCTTCTATTTATGCAAGTGGTACTGATTTCTCATTTACAGTAGTTTTATAAAGATAAGGAAATTAACTTGTATAAACACAAAAGTGAGTTTATTTAAGGGAAAAAATAAGGCAAATAAGAGACGGTACTTGGAGACCCGTGAATGCAGTTCATTGTTAGGCAAACAATGACCCATAGGATGAAATGCAATCCGCTCAGCCAGGCACATGAGGCCCTTCCGGGTCCTCCTCCTTGGCCACACTTTCAAGCCACTGAAGGGCTTGTGACTCCCAAGAAGACTCTCACAGAGCCATACTTCCAAGCCTCTGTCCACTCTGTTCCTTCTGCCTAGATGCCCTTTTCCCCCAACCTCCTTAGCAACCTGGGACAATCCCATTTATTCTTAAAGACTCCTGTCAGTGTTACTGTTTACTGGGCTAGTATTTTGCTTAACTACTCGGGAATTCCCGTGCACCTGGCAAACCATTTCTGTGTTCTCTCAGGCCCCTCTTTGTGGGTTGCTGACAGGATGACCTTCCCTGGGAGGGCTGAGATTCCAGAAGGCCAGGACAGTCCTCCTGTCTGACACAGATGCTCAGTGAGCACAAGATAACCTCAAGGGATCCAGCTGGGGGATGGATCCTCAAATACAAACCACTGGGAGACTATGTCCCCTGGGACCCAAAACGTGGGAGAGTGAGGAGTTCCAAAGGAAGGGAAGGGAGTGATGTCCAAGGGTAGGTGCCCGAGGCCAGGCCCCACAGTGCAGGCCCAGGGATTCTTTCTGGAGAGAGGAGGCCAGTGAGCATCCCGGGGCAGAAGGATCTGGCAGAGGCCTGGAACAGAGGGCCTGGCAGGCGTAGGTTCTCAACTGTAACTTGCATTTGAACCACCTCAGGACTTGTTATTGTAACAATTCCTAAGTCCCACCCCAAAAGCTCGGGGTCAGTCAGTTTGAAGTGGGCCCATGAAGATGCATTTTAAAACAAATGCTTTGGGTTATGCTGAAGCAGGTCATTTGAGGGCCAGGCTGAGATGCACTGGGTCACAGGCTGTCAGGGAAGGATGGAGATTTGCAGAGGCCTCACAGTCAAAATGCAGAAATTCACGTCAATTGGAAAGATCATCTAGAACACAGCATCACTGACTGGATACCAAGAGGCTGGAAACGCAGCCTCCCAAAGAACAAGCTCTGTGCAAAGGTTGTTTAAAATACATCCCAAATAATTCCATGGAGATGTGTTTAATGAGATAGATGAGAACATGATCACGGACATCCTTCAGGCGGGAACTTGAAGGAGCCATGTGAAATACAGAGCCTCCTTTGGAGAGACCTTATCAAGTAGCAATTGTAAACAGGGAATTTTACCATGTAGAGGTCAGGGCTGAGGCCATTTCTGGCTAAAGAAATGCTCCTTTGTTTGAATGATCATGCAATCAAATTGTTCAGAGATGGAATTGTCCAAGGCAAACAAGTCAAAGAGAGGTTTTAGCAGAATTCGGTGCACACGGCTAAAAGGCATCTTGTAACTTTGCTCCCAGAGCATTGACTTACCCTAACTGCCTCCTTAAATGTTAATTATAATAGAGAAACAGAACTGTGTGTTGAGGGAGGGGGGTTATTTAAGACCAGTCCCTAGCAGCTGCCCCCTTTAAAGATCTGGCCTTCGGAACAATCCAGGCCAAGTCACTCATCAAATGGAGATTGACTTTTATCTGATTAACCGATGGAGAAACATCCTTTTCCGTCCTGCAGGAGCATTCTGTGGGAACGGCATTTTGCAGACTGCAGGGAAAAGTTGGGCCTTGGCTTCCCTCCTGCTCGGCCAGTGGAAAATTACAAAGGAGGCAGGGCTGCCCTCGGCCATGCTCACTGGATCTTCGTGGGCCCAGGAAAACACAAAGAGAAACCCAAAAATGGAGTAAGCCATTACCTACCTGGGGCGGAAAGGAGTCTGGGAGGCGGTGGGGGCGGGGGCGGCGGGGGCAGCGGGGGAGGGGGCCGGCACTGGCAGACGTGTCGGCAGCTGTCGGTCACCTTGGAGCAGGACTTCTGGGGCTCACCATGTGTCACCTGTGGACATGGACACACATACCCAAGAGAGGGAGAAGACAGTAAGGCAACTAGAAGCTGAAACGAGCCCAGGCCACCCTGTCCCCTGCCAGGCTGGGACTTGGGATTCCTCTCCAAGACAAAGGTAGGAAGAATCAACAGAAGTTGGATTGGTTCAAAGGCGACAGTGCTGTTGGGTGCTAGCCTGGCTGGTTTGGAGACCAAGGTTTTTTTCCTAGCTCTGCCAGGGACCAGCTATGGGACCCTGGGCCAGTGACCTGGATATGAATGAGAAGTAGACAAGAGCTGGAAGGTTGACTGGTAGAATTTCTCCATGATACAAATGAGTAAACTGAGGCCCAGGCAGAAGTAGCTGCCCAAGAGTCTCACACTTGGAGAATAAGACCCTTTATGTCCTCTGTACTCTAAGCCCAGCCACTTCTCCTGTCTTCCTTGCTACAGCCCAAGGCCAAGCCCTGGCCTTCTCTCCAGCCCTCACTCCTGTTGGCCTTTTTGTGTCTACTCTGGGGCAAGGCTCCCCACTCTTGGGGAGAAACCTCACCCCGTGAGGCCTCTGCTCCTGTGTCCCACATGACCAAAGGGAGCAGAGCAACCTGCTTGATGCTCTCCACTCAGCGTCCTGGTGTTCTTGTGAGAAGGGCACCCCACTAAACCACCTGCATCCCCCCAGCAAGCCCCAGAGGCTGCCCAACCCCTCGTGAGTTCATGTGGCCTACGAGGTCTGCAAGGGACAATCCCTGACAACCTCTCTCCCCATCTCTCTGCCCTCATTCTCTCCTTTCAGTTCCGGGCCCCTGGCCTCTGCAATTGCTGCTCCAGTGGTGGTAATGTTCTCCCATCCGTACCCCTGCTGCGCCCTGACTCAGCTTGGCGTGTCTCTGACCTCTTTATCCAGCCGGATTCTTTTGTATGGGCTGTGCTGGCACCAGGTTCCTCTCTAGGGGCAGAAATCTCATTTGGATGTTACCTGGTTCACACGTATCTTCGCCATGGCATTGTGAGCTCACTGAGGGCAGAGCACGCCTTTTTCCTTCTCTGTCACTATCATAAATCAGCATTTAAGGGAATGCCCACCAATTTGATAAGTCTTTGGTGAATGAATGAATGAATATGAAAAACTGGGCCAGAATCCACGCCTTTTGAACCCTGGCCTGTGTTTTTCCAGCACCAGTCTCAGCTTCCTCATCTGTAAACGAGGAAGAGTAGCCAGAGTGAGCAGTGCTCCACCAGCCCTGGATGTACAGTGGAAGCTCCCTGGTGGTTTTAAAAAATACTCATGCCTGAGCCTCACCCACACGGATTAAATCAGAATTTTGCAGGTGGAGCTGGGCCTGGGGATTTTGCTTAAGCTTCCCAGGTTAAACTTCTTATGCAGAGCCAGCATGGGAACTGGGTAGATGGATTCGACCGACTGCCAGTGTCCCTGGCTCTACAGAGTGCCATAAATCCACGAGTCTGATGTTTCATGCCTGTCCCAGGGAACAAGCTGGTTTAAAAGCATGAAGAGTTGCCAGTCACCCTCCACCTCCCCGACGGCCACGGTTAATTTCTGTATCATCTCTGAGCCACTAGAAACCAGAGCTCTACTTTCCCTGCCACTAGCCTTGTGTGGCCTGCCTCAGAATGCTGATCCAGCCCCTCTGTCGTGTGGCTGGGAGAGCCCCTGGGGCTGGGCGGCTCCCATCGCACCTGGGAAGATGTGAATAAGTAATGTGGGTAATATCAGCTGCGGTGGCAGCAGGAAGTGGGCTGATTTACAGCCCTGGCTTAATATCCACGAGGCCAAGAGGCTCCTGCTCATCACCTTTTAATGTTATTAAAGGGCCACTGACTGCATTTCAAACCCTGGAAAGCAATCATCTCTCCCACTGGGAAGAGCATACCGTCAGATCGTGGCCTCTGCTCAATTATTTTACAGAAACGATTAACTCCTTACATGTCAGTGGGAAATCCACCGGCTTCTAGACCGGTGCCATTGTTAGACGTCCCGTCATCGAGCCTGTGCGCCTCTAGATTCTGACCTGCTGAGACCCTGGGTTTGCTAGAAAGCTTCATTCTCCTAACAGCTGGCCTCTGAGACCACGTCTCCAATGCACTCTACCAAGTGTGTGAACTTCAAGCAATACCGTTGCCAGTGCAATTATTTTCTCACTCTCCAAGGTGCAATTTATGAGAGAGAGTTCAAGAAGAGCACGTTTGTTTAACCTGGCCCGACACAATGACCTATTTTTGTGAGAGGATATGAAGGCACAGATGTATAAGAGTGTTTAATGTGATGAAGTTCTAGGCAGAAAAATCGGGGCCAAATTTTAAGGCTGCAGGAAGAGTGAAGGAGCACACAGCATTTAAAAAATTGATAGCTCGGCCGGGCGCGGTGGCTCACGCCTGTAATCCCAGCACTTTGGGAAGCTGAGGCGGTCGGATCACTAGGTCAAGAGATTGAGACCTGGCCAACATGGTGAAACCCTGTCTCTACTAAAAATGCAAAAATTAGCTGGGTGTGGTAGCATGTGCATGTAGTCCCAGCTACTCGGGAGGCTGAGGCAGAAGAATTGCTTGAACCCGGGAGGCGAAGGTTGCAGTGAGCTGAGATCGCGCCACTGCACTCCAGCCTGGACACCGAGCAAGACTCCATCTTAAAAATAAATAAATAAATAAATAAATAGCTCTCGCCTGTAATCCCAGCACTTTGGGAGGCTGAGGCGGGTGGATCATCTGAGGTCAGGAGTTCAAGACCAGCCTGGCCAAACTGGTGAAACCCTGTCTCTACTAAAAAAAACAAAACAAAAATTAGCCAGGTGTGGTGATGCGCACCTGTAGTCCCATCTACTCAGGAGGCTGAGGAAAGAGAATCACTTGAACCCAAAGGTCAAGGCTGCAGGGAACCAAGATCATGCTACCACACTACAGTCTGGGTGACAGAGGGAGACTCCAGTCTCAATAAATAAATAAATAAGTAAACAAATAAAATTGATAGCTCTGGCTAGGTGCGGTGGCTCACAAGTATAATGCCACCACTTTGGGAGTCTGAGGTGGGCAGATTGTTTGAGCCCAGGGGTTCAATATCAGTCTGGGCAATAGAGTAAGCCCTCATCTCCACAATTTTTTTTTTGATTAGCTGGGCATGTAGGCACACACCTATAGACCCAACTACTCCACAGACTGAGGTGGGTGGACGGCTTGAGCCCAGGAGGCTGAGGCTGCATTGAGCTATTGCAGCCCACTACCCTCCAGCCTGGGCAACACAGCGAGACCCTGCTTCAAAAAAAAAAAAAAAAAGTAATGGTTCTCAGTCTGTTGTGTAAAGGCCTCTCTGAAACATGAGCAGGCACAATTGCTTAGTCAACTGCTCTCACTAAAGCATCAAGTCTGGTCCATCCTTATGCCTGAGGGCTGGGTCCTCCTAATAGTTTGGTTCAGTCCAAGCCTGTGGCATCTGAGCCTGCCTCGACTCTGGGTTACTTGGACCCCATATCCACTTGCCAACTTCTCTCCATCCTTCAAACCCATCTCTTGAACAGCCTTCTTGGGTGTTCATGCAAGAACTGGACTGAGATTTTTCTCTCTCTCTCTCTTTTTTTTTTTTTTTTTTTTTTAGGTTGGTTTTCACTATGTTGACCAGACTGGTCTCAAATTCCTGGGCTCAAGCAATACTTCTTCTTGGGCAAAGCCATCCTAAACCCTCCCCCACCCCAAATTAGACTCACCTGCTCAGTGCTGCTGCTTAATTCTGCAAACCCTCTGTCTGGGGCATTTCCTTGCTGTTTTGTATTACCTGTCTCTCTACACTAAGTTGTGTCTTAGGGTGGGCAGATAGATGGGTACTTTATTAATCCTGAACAATCATGACTTTCTGAGTCCTACTATGTGTCCCTCATGGGTTCATGCTCCCATTTCTCCCTGGGCATAACTGGGAGAGGTAAGTGATACTATCCACTCTTAACAGGCGGCCCGCAGGCTCAGCGAAGCTAAATGATGCACCAAAATTGCCCAGGGCCCAGCATTCCGTCGGTGCTCAGTGAAAAGGTGCACTGCCCACCAGTGGAGACACGTGGATCTGTCCCATTCCCCAGTGCTGGTTCCACCTGGGGGTTCTGTTGATTGGCAGTGTTGTATTTAGACTAATAGAGAGGAAGCCTTGGGTGTCCCCAGCTTGTCTCAGCACCTGGCGCGGTTGGTTTCTATCTTGGGGAATTTCAAAAGGAGAAAGAACTTGGCCCCTGAAATAAGCTGCTCTTGGTTGGACTTTGTTAAGAAAGAGCAGAGGCCCAGAACGTTCAGTGACTTGCCTGAAGCCAACAGAACGCAGGCTGGTATCGGTTCTTCCTGGGACCACTTATTCCAGTTTCACCATCACCTGCCTTCCAGGCCCTGCTCTGCAGTGCCCTCCTGCAGCCAGAATCCTATAAATGCTGTGGCTTTGAGAGTGGACTGAGTCACAAGTATGTCCTGGAGTCTCCTGGATTTGGTGCCTGGAGCAGGGGTCTGAGGCACACAGTGCTTCCCAGCATCAGCTCCCTCTTCTCCAACCACCATCCTACTCCTGGGCAATCGGTGCAGTTTTGGAGCCAGCGGACGTTGCCTCCTAAACCATCCTTGAATCCATCTACTCCTCGCCATTTCCTCTGCTGCCACCTGAACCAGGCCACCAGGTCTCCAGTGGGCAGCACCTGCCTCTCTCTATTTGCCAGATAAAATATAAGACACCCTATGACATTTGAATTTCAGATAAACCACAAATAATTTTAAAGTATATTCTCAATATTATATGGGAGATATGTTAAAAAAAAATCCAATTTGTAGTTGATTTGAAATTCAAAGTTAACTGGATGTCCTGTATTTTCTTTGCTAAATCTGGCCAGTCTCCCCTTCCCTACCTCTTTGCCCTTCCCTGCATCCTCCCTGCATCCATCCTTTATGCAGGAACTGGACTGAGATTTTGCCCTCTTTTATTTGAGACAGGGTTTCATAATGTTGCCTAAGCTGGTCTACAATTCCTGGGCTCAAGCAGTCCTCCCACCTCAGCCTCCCAAAGTGTTGGGATTACAGGCATGAAGCACTGCAACCAGCCTGGACTGAGATTTCTAAAATACCAGCCTGAGTGTGTCATCTCTTACTTAAAACCCTCTCCTTAGAACGATGTCCATAGCCCTCAGGATCAAGTCCAAACTGCAGGACACTATGTTAGTGGCTTACAACAGTGTCCTTACCCGGTGCTTTTTTCCCCTGGGTCTTCCAAAGTCCCTCTCTCCTCTGGCCTTGGGCTGTGCCCTCTGCCTGGACACCTCACCCTCATTTGCATCCTAATTTCTTATCCTTCCTGTCTCAACTGAAGCACCAGGCCTGTGAGACTTCTCTGACTCTTGCCCCAGGTCCAAGCTATTTGTTCTTGCTGAGCTCTCTTGATGATAATGACTTGTTTAATTGGCTCTACAGTGCCAAACTATCAGTGCCGTCAAGGCAGAGACCACTAAGCCCCTTGCACTTAACAAAGGGCCTCGCATACAGTAGGTGCCCAATAAATGCTGCCGAATCACTGACGACTGTAGAAAGGGTTCAACATCATTTGGGTCTGGGGTAGCGTTGCATCAGCACACGGAGACCCATAAGGCCAGATAAGAGGCTGTCTAACTATTGCTTTAGGAGGGCAGCCACAAAGATGATGGCTTCTGGCATCTTTCATGGAGACAGGCCAGCACCACTGTAACTTGATGAGACACACTCCTGTCACACCTAATAAATTTGCCAGCCTGTCATCCTCTTCCCTTGCAAAAAAAAAAAAAAAAAAGGAATCATCTGGAAGTGAACTTAGAAGAACCTAAATCACAGAAGCTCAAAATCTCGATTCCAGACACATTAAAGAATAGGGTGGAAAGGTTAAGAAATGCTCCCACCAACCCTTCTGGCAATTTAAATATTGCCTGACTTTAATGATTAAGTTTCTTATCAACTAGCAGCAGCTAGAGGCTTAAGGCTGATTTCAAGTTAAGAACTTGATGCTTTGAGGGACCCCAGGTCTCTTGCCTCATCCAGATCCCATTAATCATAGGACTTTGTTATGTTGGCCTTGTCCTTCCAAATGTTCTCCTGGCAAAATGCTCATGGAAGGGCAGATAGCTCTGAGTTCTTTCCCTAGATTAGAGAAACTCCCATGACATGACAGATTTTATTTTCTCCACTTAAAGAGAAACACATGGCTTCACGCATTTCCATTTTTTTTCTTCTCTCCTACGTTCTCCTGGATTCAGCTCCTCTGCTCAAAGCCAAATCCATTCATTCCAAACCCCCCCTTCCCTTGATTTCTCTGTCCCTATCATTTGTAAAGTAATTTTTCCACAACCGCAAGCCAAGATCTTACCCATTCTACTTGTCTGAAGGACTCCTTTCTTAATTGATTTTTATGAAAATTGATTTGTATTGAGTAAGAGCATCTGAAATACACACACACACATCTGCTTGTGTAAGTACTGCCTGGCTGAAGGACACTTAAAAAACTGAACTGCTTTCACAAAATTATTTCTTCTGGGGGGGTGCGGGGTGCTAGCGGGTCTTCTGTTTATATCCTACGAGCTCACACAGTAGAATTCTAGTCTTGGAGACTGACAAGCTCATTACGTTGCTCTCCACCCCAGCTGAAGAAGTCTTATGGAAGTGAGAAAACTGTAAACAAACAAATATAAAAACTAAGTGAGCTCAGTATCTGAGGTTCAGATGAAAGTTGAACACGGGAAGCTGGTCCCAACCACTGAAGTGTTTAGGAGTGACAAAATCCTGGTTCCTGAAGAGGCACAGCTGAGTTTAACAACTGCTTTTTCACACATTAGACAAAGCTGTCAATTCCAAAAGGAAAACAATTGTAAGTGAGATGGAGGCAAGCCAGAGAAGAAAGCAGAAGACTGGGCTGGGAGTAGGGGGTGCTTAGCAGCATCTGACCCCGGCTCTCGATGGGCAGTCACCCAGGCCGTCATCCAAAGGACTGACTGAGCAAGTTCCCGGCAAGGCCCCAACATCTGGGGCAGCTCATGGACCTCAGCAGACTGGCAAGCGGTCTTGCCCCATCCCTTTTTTTCTTGGTCTATCACCTGTACTCAGAGCAACCATATGAATGGTCCTCAGACCCCAAAATGCCACCAGGAGAACATGAGGCTGCAAATACCCCAGAGTGGATCTTCAGTGCCCAAAACAATAAAAATGTCCTCCAGAGCCAGCAGAACCTCTAACAATGCAAAAATGTCAAACAGACCACACAGTGATCAACAGAGTTACCCAGCCTGCCAGGCAGAAGACCCGCATTACTATTACTCCCACCGACAATGGCAGCAAACACTGCCAGGTAGTGTTCTCATGGTCCAGGCACTGCAGGAAGTAATCCTTACCCGAATTATCAAGTTCTTATACTAGTATAGTCAGTAGAAGAAACTAACTCAGAGAGGGTAAGTAGGTTGCCTAAAGTCTCCCAGCTGGTAAGGGACAGAGCTGAAGCTAAAATTCCAGAGCTGACATCAAAGTCCACCTTGTCACCTCTCCACTGTACCGTGACCATGCACATTCTGGGGGGGTAAGGGAGGGAATAGGGACCATCTCCCTGAACCCTCTCTCTGACCCTAAGAGGTAACTCCAGTTAATGGCTGCCTGGCCTCTGCGCTGGGATCTAAGGGACCCAGGGTGAGAGAGGCATCCTGGGCGGTCCTGACAGATGGGCCACCACGCATTATCTGTCCCCATCCTCAACTCTGCTGCCTACAAGAACCCGGCCGTCTCCTGTGCTGAAGACCAGTTTAAGAAAGCTAAAGTTCATCAGTGGTTCTCGTGGGAAAGAAATAATATATACCCTTGGGATCATTTTTCTTCATAAGTTTGTTTCTTTGCTGAATGTCTGCCCTAGAATGTCATCATCGGAAGGTATTCTCTGAGCCCCTTTCCCTTCCAAGGCCATGTCCTGCAGGCTTTAGGCCACAACTGAAGCCTCTCTTTGGAGTTTCTTATCTTTTCAGGGACCCTAGCAGCTTTTCTTTTCCCAAGCTCTCCCGAGGACCAATCAGTGGTGCGGCTGCAGGAAGCTAGGGTCTCAGGAGGGAAGGGACAGGTCGCCCCTCACCCAGGAGGCCCTCCCAGCCAGTGCGCGGCCGGCGCGTCTCACCTGCACGAAGCCCCAGAGCGGGTGTAGCGCGCAGTGCAGCAGCAGCGAGGACCAGCAGCAGCCACGGCGCAGCACCAAGTCCCGGAGGAGCATCTCGGCCCGCGGCGCCCGCTCCTGGGGCGAACTGTCAGAAGAGCAAGGCTCGGGTCAGGCGGACACCCCACGAACACTTTCGGCGCCGCACACCAACATACCTCCCAGACCGGGTCGGGCGGGCACGCCCCGCACCCTGGGGCACGCTAGTAAACCAAGCCTGCACTTACACTCCGCCTTACACCTTCACTGACTCTTCGTGCATCCCAGAATTCACACCCTTTCCCTATGCACATCCCCAGAATCCCGCGTGTACACTTTAGCTCCGCACACAGCTCCAGAATACTGCGTGCATACCTTGGCCCCATGCATACCTCCAGAAACAGCCAAGCACACTTACTGCGCCCCATGAACCCCCAGAAGCAGTCATGTACAACTCACTCTCACTGTGAGCACACTTCAAACCCAGCGGGCACTACTCACCCTGCGCGCACACCCACAGAAACAGCTGTGCACACCCACCAACCCCTGCCCGCACCCTCGCTGACCCTGCATGAACGGCACCAAGAAATCACACGCTGCGTGCACCCTCACTGCCCGGCCGGCCTCATTGCGCACACTGCAACAGAGGCACCTCCGTGCGCTGCCCCACTGCACGCCCCCACCCAGCCCGGATCTCCCGCTCCCGGGCGTGGGTTTCCCCCCACGCCTCCATCTCCGCCCGCACCCTTGCAACGCCTCACGCCACCTTGCCTGGTGGCGGCCTCAGCCCACCCTCGGCTCGGGAAAGAGAGGTCCGCGTTCCCCCCGCGGCAGCTCTGTTGCCGAGCCGCCGGACAGCCCCCATTTAAAGCCAGCCGCCTCCCCAGTCCCCCGCCCTCTAGGCGGGGCCTCGGTCCTCACCCTGGCGGCTGCGCGGGCGCCCGGGGGCTTCACATGCCGGGGAGGAGCGCCCGGCGCTGGAGCAAAAGTTTGCGCGTCGGTTGGGCCTCCCAGGCGGCTGAGCAGAGGACCAGGAGCGGCGTCCTCGCACGGGGCGCAGGGCGCGGTGGCTCCGGGCTGCGCCTGGCCGCGCGCTGGGCGGGAGGGGCGGCACCCCGCGCCCAGGGCCGGGGCGGGCCGCCTAGGCGGAGGCAGAGGGCGGGGAAAGTCTCCTCCAAGCCGCCAGGAGCCGGCCGCGCGAGCCCTCCCCCTGCCCGCGTTGGCTCCCTGCCCTTCCCGGTGGCGCCGCGCGGCTGCCCGGGGCACGGGGGTGCCCAAGCTGTCTGCGACCCTCACGCCGGCCCGAGAGAGGCAGCGGTGGTAGACGCCGGCAGGGAGCGCCCGCTGGGGCAGCAAAGCCGCGGGCGGAGGCGAAATAAATAATGCACGAAAAAGGAAAACAGACGTGAGCGGAGCCAGAGCCTCTCCCGCCTCCCGCCCCGGGCTGCGCTCCCGCCCGCGCTCCCCCCACCTCCTCTCCGCCGCCGCCACCAGCGCCGCTGCAGTGATTCCTCGTCTCCATCTAGCGAGGCTATTGTGTATTGGGCGCTTAATTATTTATTCACCCTGGAGGCCGAGGATTCCCAGTTCCAAGGAGTCTTGCCCCTTGCCTGCCCTTCCCCCAGGTCTCTCCCGATGCTGCGGAAAGGTGGTGAGTTCTGACTTGAGACCCTTTTTTGCGCTTCATCCCTGCGGACTCTCCCCGCAGCACTCCCGGCAGGCTCTCCTGGGCGCCAGGGCTGGAAGGTGCAGGCCGCCCCTCTTTGGGCCAAGGGCCTTGTCCTCTCCTTTGTAGTCCAGCAGCAGAAACTCTCTTGCAACACGAGACTGCGGCTGGAAGGAGTTGTGACGGCCCTGGGGAGAACGTTTCTACCACTGCTATTCCTCAACCATCTGCAAACTCCTCTGTTTGAGGCAAGATTATCAACAAGTCGGTTCTTCGGGAAGTAGCCTGCTTACACCCCTTTCAAACCAGCTGCGCCTAGCAGCATCCCAGGCAGGCGGCCGCTCTGCTCTTGGGCGGAAGCGCGTTGACTGATGGGGAGCGCCTTCCAGAAGGCCCTCAAGGCCTGGACAATCCTATTTTAAGGTTGAATGAGAGAACCAGGGGCTTAAGACACAGAGCAGAGAGTCAGGCACTGCAGCGCATGCATGGAAGAACCCTTTACTGAGCACCTTTTCCCAGTATTTGGACACCCTTAAGCCATTCCTGTAAATACACGCTATAAACTGCTGGTTTGCAAAGTATAAAGCAGCCTGCAAACCAGCTTTCAGAACAATGTCTTAGCGGCCTCCTTCATGCCAGGGCGCTGCCCCAAGGCTCTTTGCCACATAAATGCTGCAGATTCTATCTCAACCAGCAAGATGCAGGGATGAATGGGAAGGAGACCCTGTCCCTTCTCCCCCAAGAATTCAGGGAGATGGATAAAACCCACCATTCCACTGTGATCTGCCATGTCACTCCCTCTGCCCTGAGAAAGGGGAAGACTGAGGAATGGAGGGCGGGTTGAGTAAAGGCTCCTAGGAGAGGGCGGCTTCCTGGGAGTAGGAACATCTCAAGCATCGGTAACCCTGTGCAAAGAAATGGAGACATTTGTTCAGTCCTTCATTCCTTCATTCCATATGTAGCCTCCATGCGCACCGGCAGGAGCCAGAGAGAACACTGGATGCTGGGTAGAAAAGGGAACAAGAGGATATCTCACTAGGGATGGGATAGGATGGGAGGAGGATGGGAAGAAGATGACGGGCCAGGGGCTTCCTAGGTGACTCATCAACAGTTTGGAGAAATTGAGCCGTTATTGGTCAGCTGAGGTCAAAATAACACTGGCTATTTGAATACCTGTCCAGCTGAAACCAGTCGTGGAATTTTGCTCAGCATGATCTTTACATTTGACAACAGCCCCTGACATTTATCCATGGAGCTCTTTGCCACTTACAAATGGTATTTACACCACATTTTAATTCAGTTCTCACAACTCTGTGATGTAAGTGTGATTGCCCTGTGTGAGCAGTTCAGAGACCTTTGTGCCTGAGCCAGAATCACACAGTGGCTCACCAGGTGTTCAGAAATACTAACCCCCAACTCATGACGTTGGGAGAACTTAGGTAGGTTTTGTGCATTGGAAAACTTACATTGTCCAATCTTCAGTATTGCTGTAGTGGACCTAATTTATGTATCTCTTGAGGGTCACCTGGCCCCACTTCCTGACCCTCCTGTCACCTCCCGTAGCGTGAAGACCAGGCTCTTTCACAGACCTCTCATGCTATGGGAGGCCTAGGAAGGACTTGGCTCCTCTCACCCTTTTCAATCAGATGATAACCCACACCATGGCCACATGAGGTCTGCCTACAGGGGCCGGATACCTCTACTTGGAAATACAGAGGAGTTAAAGCTTGAGGCACCATTTTGACCAATGAAGGACAAGAACTGGAAGGGACCCAGCATATGGACTGCACTGGTTCCATTTGGCCCATCAAGAAATGTCCAGTAGGTGCAATTGAGCAACTGGCTGTGTTTGCTTCTGAGGATGTGACCAGCTCAATAATTTACAACCTGGTGACGCACATCTATAGTCCTAGCTACTTGGGAGGCTGAGGCAGGAGGACCCTCTGAGTCCAAGAGTTCAAGAACAGCCTGGGAAACACCACGAGACCCTAAGCCACAAAAATGCACAACTTTCTATTAGCTTCCCTCTTTCCCTGCTTCACTTCCTGTTCCCCTTGTGTCTGTTGCCCTAGGATTGTATCCCTCAATAAAGTATAAGCAAGCAGCATTATTGCTTAATACTCTTGTCTCCTAAGGAACAGGGATAATTGCTACCACAAATGGTCCTAAAAAGTAGACCTTCAGGATGGAATGTTGGAGTTGGATTTCTCTTTTATCGATAATAGGGGCCCCACTGCTGGGCCATCGCTGACAGACAGTGATAATACAATTTCTAAAGCTTCACCTGCGGCTAATTGGAATGAGATGCAGGTAGAAAATAAGGCTTTATGAGATCACATGGCCATTGCATTTGGGGTTAAGTGGCTTTTTCTGATGGTATTTGAGGTCTTGCAAAGAGGAAATTATAGAGTCAGGAAAGTTCTCTACCAGCATAAGGCCTGCTTTGAAATGAAAGCTTTAAGGACACTCTTGACATCTACAAGACAGATTGCACTGAAAATTAGCCTGGGGACTGATTATAAGGGTGGCGGAGCTAAAGAAGAGACTAAACATGCAGCCACATAGATGTCTTATGTCCAAGTCACAGCCCTGACTTAAAAAAAAAAAAAAAAAAAAGGTTGGAGCTGATGACCTGGAATGGAAACTTTTGGGTAAACAAAACTGAAAATCATGGACCCCGATCTCCTCGAATCCTCTGGCAGGTAGAAGCAACTCTCTTCCTCTTGTTAGAACAGAATATCTCCTCTTGGTCTGGGGACGATAATGTCCTCATTGAAGCAGGAACCTTGCAAGATAGTACTTGCTTTAATGACAATAGCTTCAGAAAATACATGAGATGCCAGAACTTTTTTCTGGCACAAAAAGAAGAAAAAGAACAGAAGGCTCAGAGGCTTCGAATCATGAGACCTGAGAACCCACCACTTGTCTACATTCCCTAGGATGGCCCAGAGAATCTTCCCTTCATTGAACCAGAAAAAAAGAAGTCCTGGTGAGCACATCAGCACCTTTGAGAAATTCAGTGGTGGTTCTCTTCTGAAGGCTGGGCTTGATGATGGGAGATGGTGGGGATATGGACTCTTTTGGATTAATAGCAATCAATGTAATGGTGAAAACCAGGTGGGATATTGTCATGCCAGACAAAGTGGGCATAATTACCATAATGGGCAGCAAGGCCAGAGTGGCAACCATGTTGCCTGGAGCCATAGGAACCTATGCTAATGGCCAACAGTTCATCACATAATGGAGGGAGAGACAAATGGGGAGCTAACAGCAGTGTAGCTTGACTTGTATAAATATATGTGTATTTAAAATCAAGAGTGTAACAGCAGAAAGATGATATCTACTGCAATGAAAATTATCTGAGATTGTTCAAAGCCCAGAGCCTATGATTAAAGGAGAGGCTGGATTTCTGAGGCATTAGGTTGGCCATGAACAGTGGTAACCCAGCATGATAGAAGTGATATGTACAGCCCAGGCTAGAACAGGTCTAGAAGGAACAGGTAAATTGGCTAAACAGCTGGTCCAGATTCTCATGCCACCCACCTCTGTTGAAGCTCTTCCTCAAATTATATGTTTAGCCCCAGATGGGAGTTCCATGTGGCATTGGTCATGTCAGGGTCAACACCTGTGATGTTGATCACCACCTGAAGGGGATCTGTCCTGCAGACCCTGACTCAGTGGCGGATGAATAAATGCGCTCACTTACACCAGAATAGAGTGAATTGAGTGGGCTAGAGATGGTTGTCAGCTGCTCTCAGAGGGCGACTGCAGCTAACTGACTACCGCTCCCTGCTCCTCCTCACATTTATTCAGTGTAGATTTAATAAGAGAGGTTCTAAGTCAACATGCTTGTGGAAAATTAACATGGTTAAACAAGTGGTTTTATGAATCATAAAACCTTTTAGTTCCAGGACCCAGAGTAAACACCATTAACAGGTAATTCCCCTTCGACCTTCCCCTGAGAGGACCATCCAGCCCAAAATTTACTTGAGTAAACAGAGTAGAGACAAAGGGATGTGGGGAAAATAGACTTAATGGAGGAAGCTTTTATTATCTTTGATTTTATTATCCTTGATTTTATATATCCTTTTATTATCCTTGATCTTCACTCTGTGACTTAATGCTCTAACATAAGAACTGGCTGCCTTCAGCAGCCTCATTAAAATCTTTCAGCTTTCTAAAAGGTTTAAG